ACCAGGACGAAGAGCCCGAACGACTCACACCACGAAGAGCCCGAACGACTCACACCAGGAAGAAGGGCCCGAACGACTCACACCAGGACGAGAAACCCCAAACGACTCAAACCACGAGGAGCGCTTTCTCTCCCTCCTCCTCCGCCTCGTCCTTCTCCCGCTCCCACCACAAGGAGGATGTACAAGGAGGCGGGAGGAAGGAGGAACAGGGGAGATATGCGGGGGCAGGCGGAAACACGCCTGAAAACCACGACTGTCGGCATGCTTCGCAAGAGTGGCTGTTTTGAGATGGGCTGGTGGGGATACGCGAAGCGTAAAGAATTCACTCATCCTTGCGATGGCTTTTGAAACAAGTTGGCGTCACCGCCTTTTCGGGCTCCCGACCACCCAGGACAGCCAAGGAGGCCGCCAAGATCGCCGCAAGTCCGCCCAGAACGCTCCCAAGACAGCCCCAAGGCGTCCCAAGAGAGCCCCAAGGCAGCCCAAGAGGCCTCTCAAGACGGCTTCCGAGGCTCCCAAAAAGGTCACACGAAAAGGAATCCGAACACGTATGTCGAGCCGTCCCGGAAAGATGGCCTTTGGGACGCCTGCAGGCGCCCAAGAAGCCCTCAAGAAGCTCCAAGAAGCCCAGAAAGCTCCCCCGACAAATCCCTCAAGAAAGCCCCCGAATGCAACATTCAGTGATGTCGCTTGGGCTATATTTGGCGTCCCCGCCTTTTCGGGCTTCCGACCGCCCAGGACAAGCAAGGAGGCCGCCACGATCGCCCCAAGTCAGCCCAAGACAGCACCGAGACGTCCCAAGGGGGCCCCAAGGCAGCCCAAGAGGCATCTCATGAGGGCTCCCGAGGCCCCCCAAAAGGCCCCACGAGAAGAGATTCGAGCTCACATGTTGAGCCGCCCCCGAAAGATCGCCCTTGAGACCGCCAACAGGCGCCAACTAATCCCGCAAGACTCTCAAGAAACTCCCGGAAGCCCAAAAGCTCCCCCGACAAGCCCCTCACAGGCTCCAGGTCCCAACATGTTTTCCAAAAGGCCCCTGAACGCCCATGACTGTCCACGCATCACTTCAAGGAAACTACCACTACACATCAGCGCTGGGATGGAAACCGACACGCCGGCATACGCCCGCGATGGAATAGTCAGGTCTGGCGGGATGAACGAAGCGGTTGAATTCGGCGGGCCCCCTGCGGGCCCTCGCCGTGTGAGCCGTCGAGGGTAGATGATATCGGGGATGGAGGAGAGCGGGACGGCATTCACGCACAAGGCATGCTAAAAGGAGCGTCGCAGTGCATTCCGCCGGCCGATGATGTTTCGAAGATGTTTCGAAGTCCTCGATGAGGCCCATGTGTTTCAACTTTCCGGGGGACACACAAGACAGATTGATGAAACGTGCGCGCTGCGCTGGCTGATTTCTCCATTTATCTTGAAAGCATGTGACAATACGACTACAGTCGGGGCGTCGACCTGAGGAATCCTAAACAAGGAACGAGGCCCGTTTTTCCCATAGGCTAAACTTCGATCTCCCATGGAAAACTTAAGGGGAACCAGAGGCAAAGTGCAAAACAATCAAGGAACACCGAGCCCCTCCCAAACGAAAAAGGTTCCTTCCTCAGCGCCCCGACTGTAAAACGTGCCCCCAACGTCATGCCCCCGCGCGTGGCAGCTCCTGTGCGACGTAGGACACAAAATGAGATGGTGCCCTCAAGTGCACGGTTTCCCCTGGGGTCGTAGGCGACCCGAGAAGGAGGAGGAGGAGGAGGAGGAGGAGGAGGAGGTGGAGGAGCAGGAGGAGGAGGAGGAGGAGGAGGAGGAGGAGGAGGACGGGTTGCCTAAGCCCTTCGGAAAAACCCTGCACCCTCAGGGCTGCGAAAGCCTTGTTTCGGCGCTCCCCTCACGCATCTCCTGCTCCACAACTTCCTGCTACACGCGAAGATGCAAATCATCTGCGCTTGGAAGGCCACGAATAGCTCAATTCTAGACACCCCTCACGCATGCATTGCCCCATATTCTGCTGGAACGCGTGAGAATAATATTGATCTGCGCTCACGGGCGGGCGCACCCCTCACGCTCTGAGATGGCCCCTCAGAGGGCTCTGGGGAGCTTGCAGCCGGGGCACCCCTCACGCACCTCGCCCCCCATGGACACCTTACAAGCCGTCGGAGCCCCCACGGGACGCCAAGATGGCCACAAGAAACACTGCAATGGTTGGTACCGACCCTCGTCGAGGCAGTACAGTAGGGGCCCGACCACAATAAACCTCCCACAAGAAACCCGACCCTGAGACCCCAGGACGTCCATTGATTATTGGTGTTGGAACTTCGCGCACTCCATAGTACAACCAACCATCGAAACCCAAGACACCCAGGGCATCCTGGAGGCAAGCAAGGTGCTTTTCTTGGCATGGGTCTCCACTGCATCCCTAGCACCCACGGTTGCAACATATGCGTGCAAACTTTCCCCTGGGGGCCCGCCGTGCCTCCCGCGCTGCGGGGCAAACAATAACGCCCACGGAGGCGTTAGGGGAACACTTCGACTAGGACGGCATGCGCTCCCGAACGCCTCAAGCGGATCTGGCACCGAAGAACACCCCTGGGGGCCCGACCGCAGGAAACCTTCCGCAAGAGACCCAACCCTGAGATCCCAGGACGTCCATTGATTTTTGGGTGTGGGAACGTCACGCTCCCTTTGCGCGTGTCGGGAAGCTCTCCAGAAGGTCCTTCGGAAGCTCCCTCCAGGTCCTTCCAGAGATCTTCGGAAAGCCTTTCCACGCCCTTCTGGCGTCCTGCTATCCGGGTTTGGGACACCACAAAAATTTGGGCGTGGGAACGTCACGCTCTCCATCGCAAAAAAAAAAACATCGAAGCCCAGGAAACCCAGGGCACCCAAGGATTAGGTCCATGTCCCCCTACAGGGAGATTTTGGGCGAATAATTAAAACAATTGAGCAATACTCCCCAAATGCTCAAACAAAGTCAAAAGAAAGCGTCCCCATACTATTGTTTGCCTTTTTTTTGAATATCCCTCCTGTAGAGGGACATGCCCGACGCAACACAAGGAACGCAGGCAGGGTGCTTCTCGGCATGGGCCTCCGCCGTGCGCGAGCGGGAAGGGACTGGAGAGAGAACGGGGGGGAGCGGGGACCGCGGCTGGCCCTAGGTCTTGCATGTCCCCCTACAGGCGGGTTTCGGAGGACAAATCAAGCATGGCCCGAACATCTGCAAACGTATTATGAACAGAATCGACAAATCGTCGCCAGGCTATATTTTAACTATTTTGGAGAAGCCCTCCTGTAGCGGGACATGCCCGGCAAAAGGCTGGCCCAAGGTGGCTAAGCCGGTTGCTGCCCCAGATGGAGGCGAGGCCAGCGAGCCCACAGGCCTGGTGTCGGCGAGTCCTGGGCAGCCAGCAGCTCCCTTTTGTAAAGATTCCTCGAATCGAGCTTTCCGCGGTGCAGTTGAACATGTTATTCGCATTATCATTCGTATTATTATGTTTATACGTATTCTTCGCATCACTATTAGTAGTATTATTAGAGAGTGGGGAAGGGATCGGAGAAGGTCGGGCGGGTGCCAATGGGGGGTGGCCTACACGGGGGGTGAAGAAAAGAGCCCTACAGGGACACTTTAGGGCCCCTCTGGGAGCCAGCAGGGGCCCAAAAGGGACCCTAACGGGCCCCTTTAGGGCCTTGTCTTCACCCCCCAAAAAATTGGGCCACCCCGCATCACCACTCGTCCGAGAAGGAGCGGGGGGAGCGGGGACCGTGAAGGGAAGGGAATGGAGGGGACGTGACAATCGACCCTTACCCTGCCCGTGCCTCTCATCCCCTCCCCCGTCTGTCCTCCGTCCGTGCACCCATCCCATCAATGCTACCCTGCCCCCTGCCCCCTTTCTCATTTGTTCACCGTCTCGCCGCCTCCCCGATCGGTGCTCCCGCCTGGCTTCATATGCGCACTTCTCTACACAAAGTTTGAAAACAAGCTTGTTCGATGTAACACATGTATTCGCTCTCCATTCCCTTCTGCCCCCTGGCCGCTCATCTTCCCAATTCTCCCATGTTCACTCGTTGGGAACCTGAGCTGCCACTAACGACGGAATAGGATGACCAATGGGCACCTTTAGACGCGGAAATGCCAGCTCGTGCATCACGCCCGAAGCCGCCTCTCTCCGAGAGTCCTGCCGCAGTGATGATGGCAATCGTGAGTTCGCATCCCCGTGCCCAACCAACTCCCAATGCCAAATCGATGAGTCGGTGAAATGCATGACGTAGAACGGCTGTTCAAACAAATTTGGATTCAGACCGCCTCTGAGAAAGGAGGGCAGACGAAAGCCCCCTGCGTTGCTGAAGCGGGAAGGCGCTCAGAGCGGACCAGGGCGTGGGAGTCCAGACACACCTGCTGCCATGCAAGACGAAACAGTGTATACACAAACTTTCGGAGGTCCGCGCTGAATTCTTGGTTCGGCCCTGGCCCCTGCTGTCTGGCGCCCGGGCGCGCCAGGGGCGGCGCCGCAGGCGCCGCCAGGGGGCTCCAGCGCCGATCCGAGAAATTCGCGCGAACCTCCGAACGTTGTCTGTGTTATTACAGTCAACCCGTACAGTAACGATGCGCGGAAAGGATGCGAGTGCCTTGGACGCCCATCCCGAGGCACTTCGAGCGGGGCTCACCATCGAAAGTGGATGAGGACTGGCCGAAGAAGAAAATGATGCAGGGGTGCCCTTGAAACGTCTCTCATCCTTGCTGTGCGGGTTGACTGTAATTGTTCCCCGGTTACAGCAAACGGCCTGCAAAGTCCCCCGGCCAACGGGCTCCGCCGCAGAAGAACGTGTCCAAAATTCACGCGTCTGGCGGGCCCCAGGAGACCGCAACCGCCTCCCCTTCTTCTTGTTGTTTTCCTCCTCCTCCTCCTCCTCCTCCTCCTTCTCATCCTCCTCCTCCTCCTTCTCCTCCTCCTCCTCCCACGACGCGCATCAGGCGCCCGACCACATGCCGGCCCCGCGCGGACCTTGTCAACCATGTCGAGACCGCCAGCCTGTCTCGGCCTCGGAAGGATCCGGATGGAGAGAGGAGCGGGATGGAGTGTGGACGGTTGCGGGATGGGGATGTCGGGAGTGAGGAGGGCACGATCAGCGACAGGGGAGGGCGGGGGGAGGGGAGGAAGGAGAAGCGAGGCTGGAGGAGGAGGAGGAGGCGGAGAGGGAGTCGTCGTCGATCTGCATCAGTGTCCCTCGTCCAGCTCACTAAAGCCGACTGCTCATGGGCGCCTCGCGCAGGCGACGGGTGGCGAGAACACGAGCGCGAGCAGCGGCAGGAGCAGCGGTGGCGAGAGCAGCCCTCCAGAGGCCACAGAACAGAAACACTTCCTAACTATCCTGTGGTGGTGGGTCCTTGTTTTGGAGAGGCAGCGCCCCGCATTCCTCTCCTCCTCTCCTCCGCCCCTCCTCCTCCTCCCCCTCCTCCCTCTTCCCATGTCCTCCCGCCTCCCATCCATGCCTCTGCATCCGCATGTCAACCATTTCAGCATACCCCTCACACGTGTCGCGTCCCCCCAGGGAGCTCCACCAAAAGCCCCAATAGCAACGCCCGCACGCCTCACACATTTCGTGGCTCCATAGGGAGCTCCACCGAGGGCCCCAATGGAATCGCCCGCATGCGGTTCCACATTCCATGTCGGCACACCCCTTACACGTTTCGTAGTCCCATAGGAAGCTCCACCGAAGGCCCTAGTGGCGGCGCCCGCATGCAGTTCCAAACACAGTGTGTTGCGAACCCCTCGCACGTTTCACGGCCCCGTAGGGAGCTCCACCGAGGGCCAGTGGAAATTCCCGCATGCGGTTCCACACTCCATGTCGGCCCCCCCCCTCTCACGTTTCGTGGTCCCATAGGGAGCTCTACCGAAGGCCCAAATGGCAGCGCCCGCATGCAGTTCCACCCCCATGTCGGTACAACCCTCACACGTTTCGCTGCCAAACAGGGAGCTCCGCCGATGGCCCCAGTGGCAGCTCCCGCATGCAATTCCACCCTCCATTTCGGCGAATCTCTCGCACGCTTCGTGGCCCCATAGGGAGCTCCACCGAAGGCCCCAGGGGCAGCGCCCGCATGCAATTCCACCGCCATTTCGGCACAACCTTTACACGTATTGTGGCGCCATAGGGAGCTCCACATAAGGCCCCAGTGGCAGCGCCCGCGTGCGGCTTCACCCACATATCAGTGTACCCCTCACACGCTTCACGGCCCCATCGTGAGCTCCACCGAATGCCCCGGTGGCAGCGCCCGCATGCGATTCCAACATTTCTGGGGGGAGAGGGAGCCCCACCAAAGACCCCAATGGCAGCGCCCGCAAACGGTTCCACCCTCTATTTCGGTGAACCCATCGCATCGCGCGTCTCGTGGCCGGGAGCTCCACCGAAGGCCACAGTGGAAATTTCCGCATGCGGTTCCACACTCCATTTCCGCGAGCCCCTCACACGTGGTGTCCCCACAAAGGGCATGCAGTTCCACCCTCCATTTTCGCGGACCCCTCACACGTGCCGTGGTCGCATAGGGAGCTCCACCTAAGTCCCCAGCGGCAGCGCCCGCATGGCGCCCCCCGACATGCCAGCACACACTTCTCGCGCTTCGTGGCCCCACGAGGAGATCCACCGACGGCGATACTCACGACGACGGTGCCCACAACAACATATGGTTGGGCCCTTCGCCAGGCTAACGTTTGTTTATCGGCGGCGCCTGCGGTCGCGGGCGCGGGTGTCGCCAACGGCAACGCGTGCCTGGAAAGGGCGCTAGCGCGGGTGGAAAAGAAAGGGCGGCCGCGGAGTAGGATGATGATGATGATGATGATGAGGAGGAGGAGGAGGAGGAGGAGGAGGAGGAGGAGGAGGAGGAGGAGGAGGAGGACGACGAGGGAGGAGGACGAGGGACGAGGGAGGAGAGACGAGGAGGATGAGGAGGAAGGGCAGGACGAGGGAGGAGGGACGAGGAGGAGGGACGAGGAGGAGGGACGAGGAGGAGGGAGGAGGAGGAGGAGGAGGAGGAGGAGGAGGAGGAGGAGGAGGAGGAGGCCGCTGAGGAGGAGGAGGAGGACGAGGGAGGAGGAGGAGGAGGCGGAGGAGGGGGAGGAGGAGGCGGGACGGGCCCAGTTGCAGGGAGTCGGCGAGTGAGCGGCGCGCACGCGGCCTCAGGCACCGAGGATGGTGCAGAACACGAGGAGGCCACAAGCCATAAGCAGCAACCGCAACAACAGCCACAACAACAGCAACAACAACAATCATTCTAAGACTGTTCGCTCTTACATTCCCGTGTGTCATTCCAAACTAGTTCCCGACACCCTCGATACCCGCCCTTTTTGTCTTCGAACACACCCCCTTTAGGGGGGATTCTTTCTCTTTGCGGGGGGCGGCGGGCTTAGACAGGCGGGCAAACCTGAACGGGCAAACAATCCTTCGTGGGCGTACATGTGCCCGCCATTGGAATCGGTGTGGGCCCTGCAAAAAGAGGAGGGGGAGAACGAGGGAGAGCGGGAGGAAGGGAGGGGAAGGGACGAAGGAAGAGGGAAAACGCCAGGAGAGAAGGAGCGAAGAGGGGAGCGGTTGATCAGAGGCAGAGAGAGAGACAGAGAGAGAGAGAGAGAAAGACAGATAAGAGAGGTAGAGAAAGAGAGGGAGAGAGGGGAGAAAGAGAGAGAGAGAGAGAGTGAGAGAGAGAGAGAGAGAAAGAAAGAAACAGGGAGGGAGGAGGCAGGAGAGGGGAGGGAGAAGGGAGGAGGGAGAGGAGGGAGAGGAGGGAGAGGAGGGAGCGGGGAAAGGGCAAAGAGGCATAAGGATGAGGGAAGAGAGGAGGGAGAGAAAAGGGATGAGAGGAGGGAGGGCGGGAGGGGGAGGAGGAGCAGGAGGGTAAGAGCGTGAACGTTCGAGGACGTCCTAAGCGAAAGCGCCGTTCCTGAAGGAAGTCTCGGGCGGGAACCCACGACGGGCGGGCGATCCCCTGACGGGCGGGTCGGGCGGGTGGGACATTCAAGCGGGATGCCTGAGTATGGCGAGAGCGCGATTCCTAAGTAAATTGTGACGGCGTCCTTGGCGCAGCGTGTTTCCTGAGCGTCGAAAGCGCGATTTCTGAATAAGTTGCATCGAAGTCACAGGCGAGAGCGCAATTCCTGAATAATATGGGGTTCTCTGGCGGGAGCGGGGGTCTTGATTAAATTGCGAAGAATTGTTGACTCAATTGCGAGAAGTCTCAAGCGGGAGCGCCGTTCCTGAGTAAATTGTGAGGAAGTCTTCGATGGGAGCGGGGGTCCTGATCCTGCGAAAATTGTGAGGAAGTCTCAAGCGGGAGCGGGGGTCCTGAGTAAATTTGGAGGAAGTCTCAGGCGGGAGCCGTTGCTGTTGTACTCCGGGGGGCCATGGATACAGTTTGAGCACCAAGACTTCCCCTGTCAAAAAAAAAGGGTGCGAGTTGAAGGGCACACTTTGATTGAGAAAAACAAGTATGCACCAGTGAAGGGGGATCAGCAAGACTTATTCTTCAGAAGTGAGAGAGTTCAACACCACCACCAACAACAATAACAATAACACTACCTATAGGACCACCCTCCGGGTGATAAGGAGGTTCGGGGGGGGAGGAACCAACGTCTCACTCGATCGGCCTCACGATCGATCTCACTATCGATCTCACTATCGGTCTCGCTCGATCGATCTCAGTCGATCGATCTCACAAATGATCTCACTCGATCTATTTCTTTCGATCGATCTCACAATCGATCCGACTATCGATCTCACAATCGATCTCACTATCGATCTCACAATCGATCTCACATTCGGTCTCACTGTCGATCTCACTATCGATATCACAGTCGATATTACAATCAATGTCATCATCATCATCATCGACATCATCGTCATCAACGTCATCAACATCATCATCATGATCATCGGGACACCATCATCATCACCTCGTCACCATCATCATCAACATCTTCATCATAATCATCATCATCATCGGGACACCATCTTCGTCACCATCATCATCATCGACATAATCATCATCGGGACACCATCATCATCATCGGAATACCACCATCATCATCATCCAATCATCATCATGCACAACATCATCAAAATCAATAGAATGACCGGGACACGATCATCATCAGCCTCAGCATCAACACCAACCTCATCATCATCATCGGACCACCAGCATCATCGTCACCATCACCATCGTCACCATCATCATCATCGGGACACCATCATCATCAACATCGGCATCATCATCACCATCATCGGTCAACCATCATCAAAATCATCATCATCACCTCATCATCATCCTCATCACCAACACGATCATCATCGGAACACAATGATCGTCACCAACATCATCAGCCTGATCATCACCAGGACACCATTATCATCATCATCAACAGCATCATCATCAACGTCATCATCATCGGGAAACCATCATCATCATCTTCTTCATCATCATCTCATCACCATCATCCCATCATCATCAACACCATCATGATACTCAGCCTCATCATTATCATCGGGGCACCATCATCATCAACAACATGATCATCAACATCATCATCACCATCATCATCATCATCATCATCATCATCATCATCATCATCATCATCATCATCGGGACACCATCATCATCACCACCATCACCATCCTCATCATCATCATCAACATCATCGACATCATCATCAACATCATCGGGACACCGACGGGACACCGGCGGGACACCAGCGGGACACCGCGGGCCACCGGCCCCCAGGAAGGAATCATTTGGTCCGGCCGCGCCTCAGCCGGAGGCGGGACACCAGCGGGACACCGCAGGCCACCGGCCCCCGGAAAGGAATCATATGGTCCTTCCGCGCCTCAGCTGGAGGAGACTTTCGTCTCGCCCGCCCACGCAGCTTCGCCTCGCCCGCACGCACGGCACGCACGAACACGAAACCGAAACCGATTTCCCGGTCCTGGTAGGGGGGCTCCCCGTTCCACTTCGATCTCACTCCCTCACCTCCAATCAATACCAATAACAATAACAATAACAACAACAACACCAACAACAACAACAACAGCAACAGCAACAGCAACAGCAACAACAACGCTAGCGTTAGGTCGGGCGTGTCCTCCTACCGGGGGATTTTGAACGAAAAATAAAACATAGTCCAAACATATTCAAAAATGGTAGCAAAAATACTTTAAAGAATCGTCTCCAGACTATTTCTTACTATTTTTGAATATTCCTCCTGTAGAGGGACAGGCCCGACTTGACGCTGACGGGTGGACTGCCACGGGCAAACTCCACTTCAAACTCGGCCCGGACCTCTGTCCCCCGATATCTCGAATCCAGCCCTCGAAGAGTCCCGACGCGCCCCATCATCACTAGAGGCCTCCTAGATGGGGTCGGAGTAGATGGGGTCGGAGGATCGCGCCGCGTCGGCGATGCATCGCCGATGCATCGGCGATGCACTGGTGACGTCGGCGATGCATCGGCGACGTCGGCGTGGAGAAAATTGGGCTCCACATCGAGCCGCATCGCCGATATATCGGCGATGCGGCGCGGCCCTCCGACCCCATCTCCTGAGACCTCATCTGGGAGGCCTAGAATCACCTAGAAAACTCTCTAAGACTGGACTCGGCTACACGCGAGAGTGATTTTAGCTAAAAATGATATTGGGTGCGGGATTTTTGTTGGGCCGCGGGGAGGCCGGACCGGAGCGCCCACGCCGCTGCTATCGCCTATCGTATCACATTCACACATCTGGGGACCCCAGTGTGCCCGCACCAAAGCTCCGGCGAAAGTTCACTCTCACGTACGACCGAGGCTCCTTGTCCTCCTAGGACGTCGCTAAGCCCGGGACGATGTCCTTTTGGGGGGTAGCCCACCCTCACCCTCCACCTTCTCCATCTTCCGACCAGCAGGTGGCTGATTCAGGGATCTTCTCGAGGGACAGCACCGATGTATCGACATAAAGCGTTCGGAGCTGGCGCGCGAAGCGCGCCAGGGGCGGCGCCAGAGGCGCCGCCAGGGGGGCCCAACGCCGATCCGAGAAGTTGTCCCTCGAGCACACCACGAAATCAACCACCTGATGGTCGCACGATATGGAAGGTTAAGGGTCAGGGCACCACCCACTTCAATCCCGCTTTATCCCTCTAGACGCCCGGAACGTGTACGGAAAATATGGGTACGACAACCAACGACAACTGCTGTCCAAAACCGACAGCGGCCGCGTTCTGTACTAAATGGACAACGTCCGCGGCGACACCGTCAGCGAGTCCTGTTCAACATGAACCGGGAATGATATCAGTCTTCCCACTGACCCTTTCCTTACCGATTTCGATCGTACCGAAGAGTCAGGGCACGATCCTACTTTATCTTGGTGTTGCACACATGGGGGCAGGGGGAGGGGGACGGCTTCTCAGTAGGAAGCTGCTTCTTAAAAGGCGGTGGTCCTGCATCTGTAGCTGAGGCCCGCACCTTCTGCGAAGCAGAGATGCCTCAAAGAAGCCCTCCCCCCTCCCCCTACCCCCCTTTCTGCGCATGGCCGATCATCCCCGCGTCCCCGCCTCATTTGGTGGCGACGACCGACCCTTACCCCCACCAAGCATCAGTTCTACTGAATCGATGGAGGGCGGGGGTAGGCTTCCGATTTCGCCACGTGCTCGACGAATTCCGAACCCTACGCCCGCCGCCCATCGGGGTGCCTGGATCGTTGATCGGCGAGGGTAGGGTTCGGATTTCGACGCCGAATCATCTCTACACGAATCGACTGCACGCAAGAGTGACCCTGGGTAAGAGTGGCCGTCGGTGCGCGGCTTTTTGGGGGCCGCGGGGGGACCGAACACAAGCGCGCAGGACGCTACCATCGCATCGCTTTCGGCGATCGGGGGACCCCATGGGCCCGCACCAAAGCTTACTCCGGCGAAAGGTCACTCTTACGTTAGAGGCCTCCTATATGATGTCCGAGTAGATGGGGTCGAAGGATCACGCCGCATCGCCAATGCATCGACATCGGTGATGCATCGCCGACGTCGGCGGTGCATCGGCGACGTCGGCATGGAGAAAATCGGGCTCCGCATCGAGCCGCATCGCCGATGCATCGGCGATGCGGCGCGATCCTCCGACCCCATCTACTCCGACCCCATCTGGGAGGCCTAGACAGGTCAAACATAATCAAACATCGTCCCCAGACTAATTATTTGTTTTGACTATTTTTGCATATTCCTCCTGTAGAGGGACAGGCCCGACTTACGTTCAAGTCGAAAACAGAAGATCGCTCGAGCCCCGCGGGCGGCCAGGCCTGCCGCTCCCCTCCAGCGACGCCCGCAGGCCCTCCACCACCTCCTGCAGCTCCTGGGGGGGATGACTTCGGAGACCCCTCTCGGGGGGAACGAAAGGGGGGGACAGCAGAGGGTAGGGCAGAGAATCAGCTCACGTAGCTGATTTTCCCAGCGCCTCCCGGCGCCCGGAGGCGCCCATGTATCGAGGAATGGGCCCGGCGGCGGGGCCGAAACCAGCTGCACGCAGCAGATTTCGTACCCCCCCCCTTTCCCTACAAGACCAACCTGATCGGGCAAGAGCGGGAAGCGCCGATGTTGTCCATGTCACCATGGGCAAGCGAACCTGCCTCGCTTTTGACCGTCCTCGCTTCCACACGGGAGCCAAACGACACCGAGCTACCCGTGGGGTGGCCCGCAACGGCCAGGCTGTGCGCAAAAGGCGCTCGGTGTGACTTGGTCTTGCCCGGAAGCGACAGCAAAGGGGAGGCAGCTCACCCTCTGAGAATGAAAAACGGTGGCGACGACAAGGCGGCGGGTGACCGGGATGACGGCGTGGATGCTGGGGAGGGCAGCGAGGGTCTCGGGGGAGTACCGGAGCCCCCTGGGCAAGACAAACAGAACAGTCCGAGACGCCCGGCGCGACACATCCCCATCCGCGGCCTCGCAAGCTGGGCCTGTTGGCCGCGACCGCGCGGATACAGGGCGTTTTTTCGTGGATGCCCCGCGCGGAATGCGTCCGTGCGGCCGCATATCCGCGGGGTCGCGCCCTGGAATCCAGACCGCGACGGCGCGGATACGGACATGCCCGCCGCTCGTGAGACACGCGACATCCAAATGATCCTGCGCCGTTTTATCTACTCCAGCCAACCCCTCTGAATCGATCGGCCGGGCAGACCCAAATATCGTGATAGAAAGCTTCGGTTCATCTCTGGAAGATCCCAATTTGCGACAACACCTGTGCACCAGTATTGGCAACACGAGAGACGAAACGAAACTAGAGTATGAATGGCTACCATCGAATAATCGACCAGCAATTTTCGCAACGTTGTCTTAGGCATTCTGGACCTGTCCTACGGTCGAGGCAACGCGGAAAACAATTGCAACAGGGGAGGGGAGGAGGGCAGAGGGGGAAGGAAATCCGCTGGCCCCCATGGGCCAACAGGCTGCGAGAACTAGACTTCCATGCTCCATGCACCGGCTCAAGTTCCCAAGGATATAATTGCAACTTTCCTCTTTTAATCTTACATGTTGTAATGATTGTAGTCCGCGCGAAGGGGGGTGATGTCGAAGAACAGCCAGCTGCCACCCCAGAATAGCGAGATCTGAATTCCCGACCAACCTGTGGTGTTGGGCCGTCGTTTTGAAGAGACAGCGCCCCGCGTTTCCTGTCCTCCTCTCCTTCTCCTCCCCCTTCTCCCTCTTCCCATCCCAGATCCCATCCCTGCATCTACCCTCCGCATATCAGTGTGTTGGCATGCCCCATTACAAATTTCGTGGCCCCATAGGGAGCTCCACCGAAGGCCTCAGTGGCAGCGCCCGCATGAAATTTCAACCCCAATTAGGTGCACCCCTCACATGTTTAGTGACCCCATAGGGAGCTCCACCGAAGGCCCCAGTGGCAGCGCCCGCATGCAATTCCACCTCAATTTCGGTGCACCCCGCACACGCGTCGTGGCCCCATAGGGAGCTCCACCGAAGGCCTTAAAGGCAGCGCCCGCAGGCAGTTCACCCTCCATGTCGGCACACCCCACACACGTGTCGTGGCCCCATAAGGAGCTCCACCGAAGACCTGACTGGCAACGCCCGCATGCGGTTCCACCTCCATCCCGGTGCACCCCGCACACGTGTCGTGGCCCCACAGGGAGCTCCACCAAAGGCCCTAGGGGTAGCGCCCGCATGTAGTTCCACCTTCAATGACGGCACACCCTTCACACGTTTCGTGGCCCCACGGGGAGCTCCACCGAAGGCCTCAGGAGCAGCGCCCGCATGCAACCCCAATCTCGGTGCACCCGGCACACGTGTCGTGGCTCCACGCGGAGCTCCACCCAGTGGCAGCGCCCGCATGCGGTTCCACATTCAATTTCGGTGCACCCCGTACGTGTGTCGTGGGCCCACAGGGAAATCCACCTAAGGCCCCAGGGGCAACGCCCGCATGCGGTTCCATCTTCCATGCCGGTACACCCCTCACACGTTTCGTGGCCGGATCGAGACCTCCACCGAAGGCCTGAAAGGCAGCGCCCGCAGGCAGTTCACCCCAAATTAGGTGCACCCCTCACATGTTTAGTGGCCCCATAGGGAGCTCCACCGAAGGCCCTAGTGGCAGCGCCCGCATGCAGTTCCACCTCAATTTCGGTGCACCCCGCACACGTATCGTGGCCCCATAGGGAGCTCCACAGAAGGCCCCAGGGGCAACGCCCACATGCAGTTCCACCCCCATTTCGGCGAATCCCTCGCACGTGTCGTGGCCTCGAGCTCCACCTACTGGCCCAGTGGCAGCGCCCGCATGCGATTCCACATTCAATTTCGGCGACCCCCTCAAACGCTTCGTGGCCCCAGAGGGAGCTATTGACGGCCTCATCGGTAGCGCCCGCATGCGGTTCCACCCCCACTCTGGCGAACCCCTCGCACGTTTCGTGGCCCTATAGTGGGCGCTCCACCTACGGGCCCCAGTGGCAGCGCCCGCATGCGGTTCCACCCCCATTTCGGCGAGCCCCTCAAGCGTGTCGTGGCCTCATGGGTAGCTCCACCAAAGAGCCCAGTGGCAGTGCCCTCATGCGGTTCCAACCCCGACTTCGGCGAATCTCTCACACGTTTCGTGGCCCCATAGGGTTCTCGACCGAAGTCCTCAGTGGCCCCTATTGCTGGCCCCTCTACTTCATGTCATTCTCCTCGCGATGCTCGAAGTCCCCAGTGGCAGCGCATACTACAGATTCGTGCTCCCGAGGCCACGGTCCCTCGTAAATCATTTCGTTCGCGTGTCCTAGGCTTCGAACCCACCCCGTGAAGGCTGCCCAACAGCGCCACTCCCTGTCCAACAGATAATTTAAAGTCCACACGCAGTGCCTGTACTTAGGGGTTCTTACTTGTGTTCTGAAGAATTGGCCCTGAAGGTCGACCTGGCGGCTATGGAGTCGCCGTCGCCACCCCGTCGCCGCGTCGTCGCCGCCCATCGTGTGGGCCTGCAGACGGGCTTGGCGGCTACGTAGTCGATGTCGCCGCCTCGTTGCTCCCTTGCAAACGGGACGAAGTGCACACCCGCGCGACGTCGCGCGCGCATGCCGAAACCCTTCAAACACATTTGGTGCCGTAAGGGTTTCGAAATCGACTGTCCCGAACACATGATAACACAAGGAAGCAATCACGCGCGCGCTTTGGCTACGTCTTCCAGTGACAACGCGTTTTTTCCCCAAACATCCATTCCACCAGTCAGTCGGACGCCTTTGTGCGCGTTCTGGGGGGAAGCGGGCACGATCCTTGTCCCATAGCGCCATGCGGGCCACTCGCGCCCGTCGGCGGCACGCGCATGTCGAAATCTTTCCAAAACCAACATCACCGACACGTGGACACCATCATCGTCATCGGAGTGATGACCATCGGCGCCGGCATTGGCCTTGCCGTCGTCAACAGCATCGTCGCCACCAGAAACACTACTATCATCATCGTGTCTGCCGTTGTCGACGCCGCCATGACACCGCGCCCGCCCGAGACACCGATTTGCATTGAAACCCCCACGCGTCAGCGCGGCCTGCAAACGCACTGGGAAGTCCACAACGGTCAGCGCCACCGCGGCCGCGTCGGTCGCGCCAGACTAGCTGGTCGCTCTGCGCGCGGGCCTGCACGCGCTAGCGCGGCCGTAGCGATGCACCAGCCAGCGCCAAGCAATCGTCGCAATCGCCGCCGCATGGGTTTTGCAAACCAAGCTACGGGTTGGTGGGTGAATTGGCTGCGCGAACAATGGAGTTGACAACTCGCCACGCACATATATTAATTGCATCACTTAGGTTGTCATGCGCGCGAAGAAAATGACATTCTACCCTATGGCCACCCCCGCGGACTGATCACCCCCCCAGGAGCATTGCAATTCACATGTGATTCTGCCTCCTTGCTCACGTTCCATGTGAGCGCGAACCATCCCTGCCAGACCGGTTTCGACCACCCACACCATCCCCGTCAAATAATACCATGCGGTGCACATGCGTTGATCTAGAATTAGCTTGCGGCACAAATCCAAACCAAGTCGCACGATGCGGGCCACATGCGCGCGGGCAAGACGAAATCCTCCCAACACCTGTGCTTTCGCAACGAGTTCAGCAAATAATATCAAACTCCATTGTTGTTTCGCGACCATACGGGAACCAATACTTTACCAGCTTTCCTGTCCACGGAGGCCTTCGCGCGCGCATGTCGAAGTGATTCCAACGGCCTCGCGCGCTTGCCAGAGGCATGGCCCCTGTCAAATAATACCTTGAGGGGCAGATGCGTCGATCGATGATGACCTCGTGGCGCGAGTCCCTGTCGAGCAATACCACGCGGTGCTCATGCGTTGACGAAGGGGGGAAGAGCTTCTGGGACGAAGCCCGATCCAAAAATACCATGTGGGCCACATGCGCGCTATTCCCCTGTAAGAATTGAAGAGCCACTCCTCTGCTCCCTGCGCGCCACTCCCCTGCGGGAAATTGAGGGGCCACCATATGTTCCTGACTCCTCTCTCCTCTGCCCCCTTCGCGTTCCTGCCTTCATACCTCCTCCCATTTCCGTTGTCGCTCCCTTCCTTCCTTTCCTTCCTCTTTAGGTCCTGTTTCATCATCCGTGCTCCCTTCTGTCTCCCTGTTCCTTTCTATGTCCATTCCTGCTTCCTCTTCTCCCTCTCTCTCTCTCTCGCTTGTTGCCTTACCCTCGTCCTCTCTCCCTGCGCGTCGCTTTCCGTTCCTCCCATTCTCCCTCCTCCCTTTTCCGTTCTCGTTCCTTCCCTCCTTTCCCTTCTCTTTGAATCCTTTGGCTCCTTCCATCCTCCGTCCTCCCTTCTGCCCCCTGCCCCTTTCCATGTTCTCTACTGCTCCCTCTTCTCTCTGTCGTTTATTTTCTTTTTGCCCTTGTCCTCTCTCCCTCTGCGTCGCTCTCCCCTTCGTTTCGGGGCCGCGACGATCTCAACCGCACGTCTTGCAGCATGGATTCCAGGCGGCGCGGCCGTGCAGTCGGGGGCTCATCGGGCCTGCAAGCGCTGCCTCAGTATAAGTTTTGCCAGCCAAGTTTCGGGTGGGAGGGTGGGATGTTTGCATGAGCATCGTAGGTGGTCGCGCGCGGTGCCAGTGTGGTTAATTCTCCTTTCTATAAACAGAATAGGATTTACCCCCCCCCGGCGTTATCGGTACCTCTTTTCGGGTATGTAAATCATGTATGATTCTGCCCACATGTTCATCCGAAATATGAATTTCCACTATCCCAGGGCGGCCGGTATCTCCCCCATGAGGTTCCCTTGTAAAAGAAACAGTATGCGGTGATATTTTTTGTTCAAACATAGCATTGTTTCACGAATCCCTCGCAAAAACATGTGACGAAGTGCGCACGCGCGTGTCGTCGCGCGCGCATGCCGACATCCTTCAAAAACCTTCGGTGCCGGAAGGATGTCTCAATCGAGTTTCCAAAAAACCTACAACATCACAGGGTTTCGCAACACTGAGTTGCTAAAACAATTTCCGCGCGAGCTCTTGCGAAATCTTGAAAAGGAAACCATGTGTTTTACAATATTTTCACAAAGCTCCTCGCCCCCCCCCCCAGCGATCGCACCCCCATTACTCGACGCCCGAGGACGAGTATCCCGAAATTCCCCCGGCCCGAACCCCGAGAGGAAACCGCCCGAACGTCGGGAAACTCCAGCAACTCCTCCACGGCGCCGCATGTCGGGGCTGTGGCGCCGCGGATGCGTTGCCCGAAATGGATCCCACAGGAGGGCAGGTGGGCACGGATGCATCACAGAAGGAATGTCTGGAAACGCCTCAGTGCCTATCGCCCCCACAATCGTTTCCTCAGAGTTCGGCTTCGCGCCCGACGCCACGAATTCTCGAAACTGGCTGGGGGCGCGCGCTCTCGAAGCCGCGGGCCCTCGTCGGTTACATTGCTAGCGCGCCCCCGAGACCACCACCCCTCGCTGATCACTACAGACGCGCGCGACTAGCCAGCCAGCAAGCATTCCAAATCAACAGCAAGCCGTCGAATCCCACCAGCCCTCTGGGCGACAGGTGGTCTGAGGAGGGTCTTTTTCCTCTTCCACAAACCCTCTTCCATTCGGGGAGGGGGAACCCAAGAGGCCCCAAGACCGTTCCAAGACGGTTCGACTCTCCCCCCGTCAGCTCTCATGGGCATCGTTTCTGGATGGGCTGGTGGGGATACGTTTTTGTCGCAAGCGCAGGCGAGAGCGCCAGCGGCGCGTCAGGTCCGAGCGGGCCGCGCAAGAGCCGAATTACCTAACGCCGACGGGCCGGCGACTTCAGGCAGCGCCTCGGCGGGAGGGCCGGCCCGAGGGGGGGTGCAAGCTGCAGCTGCCAGGGAACTGGTCCAGGGGAGCGCGCAGACGAACTAGCCAACCACAGTTGGGGCGCAGCCAAAATGGCGCGAGGGTCATACCAGGGTGTGACCAGGGAGGCGGCCAGTCAGTACACTGCGACGACTGCCATGGACGCCCAATTTGGTTCAAACTGGTGCACTGGGTGGCGCCACCAAAGTCGCAAACCAAAGCCCCGGAGGGGAGTACTGATCCTGCGAACGTCCAGGGGTGCGATGGATGTAATCGACACCGTAAGCGCCTGAACCGCCAGATCAGGGGACGCCACTCGCACTCTCAAGCTGGAACCGACGACTGAGGGCTGGTCGAACCAGGAAGATCCACGCCTCAGCGCCGGAACGAGGGAGCAAGAGGATGCCGTGAGCGTCGCGCTGGTGGGGGTACTTTTTAGTCAGCGGCCGCGGGCGAGCGCGCCAGCGGCGAGTCAGGTCAAAGCGGGCTGCGCAGAGACTAATTAGGCAAAGCGCTGGTGGGGATACTTTTTTGTCGCGGGCGTAAGCGGAAGCGCAGGCGCCGAGTTGAAAGGTCTGGGCCACGGGCCTGTCAAATTAGCAACGCGCGAGCCTAAGAGCACAGCACTGGTGGGAATACTTTTTTTGATTTGCGGCTCCAAGGACGATTCCAGAGAGCGGGTCGTATCGAGCATGGGGCAGCACGCAAGATAATTGCCAGCGGGCCAAAGCCAACGCCGGAGTGCACCTGAGCCAGAGAGGGCGTAGCAAGCTTGGGGGGCCAAGCGAGATAATTGCCAGCGGGCCAAGAGCCAACGCAGGGACGCACGTGCGAGTAGCCCCAACCCGCCAAGGGGAGCAAGCGGGAGGCCACGCGAGATAATTACCAGCGGGCCAAAAGCCAACGCCGGATGCACATGCGAGGGGAAAAAAGCAAAGGCCCGGCACGGCCGGACGGTGAGCAGGTAGAACCAGCGGGCCAAAAACCGACGCCGGAGAAAACCTGCGGGGGGGAAAAGAGCCGCAAGCCGACGACCCGGCACACGGAGAAAGCGATACTTGAACCAGGAACCCTCACTCACGGAGCAACTAAGGCTCATGGACAGCTGCACGCAACCATTAGGTTGAAGCACCACTGAACACGATCGTCAGACGAAGTGCGACGAGGGTAGCGTGGTCCTTCCCGCCGACAGCACCACGTTGAGGGGAGCCCAGGCGGGCAAAGACCATGTCCGAAACCGACGCACGCGATGAAGCCGTCGTAAGCGCCTGCCAATGGGGGGTGCCACAGCAGCGTCGACGTGAAGGGGGGGAAAGGTGGAACGATGGGGCGGGCCTTAGGCCGGCGTTCCCAACCGCTCAAACTCCCGGGCGGGCGAGGCGGGCCCATGCTCGAGAACCAGGCAAATCCCACCGCGTGCGTGGATTATTTCAGCCGACGCCACACGGGCTAAGTCCACGGTGCACCGTGAAAAGCAAGTCGCAACTATACCATGGTGTCCCACATCCAAGGGGGGAATGCAGGGAGAGCCACGACCTGTCACTGAGGTGAAACAACCACGACGAACGCCGCTGAGGTTGTGGAACGAAGGGGCGGGCCTTAAGCCGACGTGCCCAGCCGCTCGAATGCCCGGGCGGGCGAGGCGGGCCCGTGCTCGCGAGAGCCAGGCCAAATCTCACAGCGAGCGTGGATTATTTCAGCCGACGTCACACGGGCTAAGCCACGGTGTACCGTGGAAAGCAAGTCGCAACATGGTTTTTTTGGGAGAACAAGCCAGTGGGCCGAGTTGCCAGCTGGCCGGTCGGCAAGGAAACCAACCAACCAGCGTGGCCAAGCGAACACTCCGAGGGGGCGCTGGCGGTACAGGGCGACGCCCTTTGGACTACAGACGGGGCGGCTGAGGAGGCAAGAGAGGGGGGAGGGACGTAGGTTTGAGTCGGGCATGTCCCCCTTACAAGCGGATTTAGGATACAAAAAAAATGGGAAAATAGCCAAAACAGGTTCAAATATAGTCAAAAATGGACAGGGATCGTCCCCATACTATTTTTGACTATTTTGGAATATTCCTCCTGTAGAAGGACAGGCCCGACTTAAACGTAGGGGGCGCCGCGACTGCCACCGATTCCCACTAGGCTACCACCACCAGTTGCAAACCACCACAACGGCCGCGGCCGGTATCATGATTACGACCACTATCACTACCGCTGCTCGAGATCTCATCTCGAGCTTGAGGCCTTGGAGCCACGAGCTTAGGATGGGACGCGGCTGGACGCTCTTGTTGCCCAGACGGTGTGTCCAGAAATCGTCCACCACCGACGCGCACTCAGTAGGAATATCTTTAAATGATGCCTGTGGGACCTTCAGATCAAGATCTCATTCAACTTGGGACCTCTGAATTTGGACCTCCAGGCCGGCACCGACAAAAAGGACCACCATCTCGGACCTCCATTTTGGGACCTGGAGCATGGACCTCTAGCATGGACACCCCCACAACTCAGACAAAGCCTGTAGGGAGGGAGGGAGGGAGGGACGCGAAGAGAAAGAGTGAGTGTGCGAGAGTGAGAGAGACATAGAGAGAGAGAGAGAGAGAGAGAGAGAGAGACTGATACAGAGAGAGAGAGAGAACAAAAAGAGAAATAGAGGCATAGGGAGAGAGAGAGAGAGAGAGAGAGAGAGAGGGACACACGAAAGGGGGGGAGGCAGACGGGAGACACAGGGGAGGAGCCCTTGAACAAAGACCTCGGCCTGATGCGGTGCCGATGGGCTCGGCGCTCCAATGCGGACCGCATGACTCTCGCCCGGCCGGGTCCTCCGCCGCCATCGGCCGAGGGGCCACCTCCGGCAGGGGAGCAACCTCAGCCAGGGGGGCAACCTCGGCGTCCGCAGCGCCGCTGTCATCGGACTCAGCCTGTCGCAAGCTCGCTCGCTCCCGCGTGGCTTCCCTCCTCTCGCTTTGCCCTCCCCAGCGCTCTTTCCCTTCCTCCCCTCGCTCCCTTCACCCTTCCCTTCGCTCCCTCCCCCTCTTGCCCCGACTGCCGCCCGACTGGGGAGGAATGAAGGGGTGATGGTGGGAGAAGAGACGGGACGAGGGAGGGGAGAGGTGGGACAAGGGAGAAGCCGAGGGGGGGTGGACGGGACGAGAGGGAAGAAGAGGAACACCAATCCGTAGACAGCGACAACCGTGAAGCTCATAATAACATGTAGCTAGGAAAGCTGGGCCAAAGATCGCCCGAAGACGCCCAACAGGGCCCCAAGACAGCCCAAGAGGCCTCCAAGACGCCCCAAGGGCCTTCCAAGAGGCCTCCGAAGAGGGCCCCAAGAGGCCAACATCGTTGATTTTCATTGTTTTTTCTATGTTTTTTGCGTTCTGGCTTTTTCGGCTTCCGGACGCTCCAAGACGGCCCAAGAGGCCCCCAAGACCGCTCCAAGACGGCCCACGAGGCTCCCAAGACGGCCCCGGAACGGCCCAGGAGGGCCCCCAAGACGGCCCAAGTGCCGCCCAAGACGGACCAAGAGGCCCCAAGACGGGCCCAAGAGGGGCTCAAGAGGGGAACCGAGAACTGAAAAATCGAGCCCTCCGCCCCAGAAGGCGCCCAGGAGGCCCCAAAAAGGCCCCAAGAGGCCCCCAAGAGGCCCCCAAGACGCCCCAAGAGGCGCCCAAGAGGCCCAAAAGAGGCCCCAAGAGGCCCCAAAACGGCCCCCAAGAGGCCCCAAAACTTGGCTAGCCCACAACGGTGCGACAATATGGGCCGGCGGAATGAGCGAAGCGATTAATAACATGTAGCTAGGAAAGCTGAGCACGAGGTGCATAAAGGCATGCCACTCCCCAAAGACAGAGGCCGAGGCAACTTCCGTAAACTCATCACGAACATGCAGCCACTAACACTAAGCATGGTGTGCACGCTGAGATGACACCCGGTCGGGTACAGTCTGGCACAAAGTTGACGCGGAAGAATCAGAAGATCACAGACAATAGCTCGCGCGCAAATGGCGCACATCCCTAAAGCTCCGACTACTACTGCAACTATTGCTACTACTATTACTACGTATCCTACTACTTCTTGTGTTACTACTACTACTACTACTACTACTACTACTACTACTACTACTACCACTACTACCACTACTACTACTACTACTACTACTACTACTACTACTACTACTACTACGACTACTACTACTACGACTACTACTACGACTGCTAATATTACTACTACTACTACTACGACTTACGACGTACTTCTACTACGTATTACTACTACTACTAATACTACTACTACTACTACTACTACTACTACTACTACTGCTAATACTACTACTACTACTACTACGACTACTACTACCACTACTACTACTACTACTACTGCAACTAATGCTACTACGACGACTACTACTACTACTACTACTACTACTGCTACCACCACCACTACTACGATTACGCCTACGTCTACTGATACTGCGACTACTACCAGTACTACTACTACTACTACTACTACTACTACTACTACCACTACTACGACTACTACTACGACTACGACTACGACTAGTACTACTACTACTACTACTACTACTACCACTACGACTACGACTACTACTTCTACTACTACTACTACTAATAATAATAATAATGATACCACTGCTACTACTACTACTACTGCTACGACGACTACTACTACCTACTCCTACGAATACTACACGTACTACTCCTACTGCTACTGCTCCTGCTACTGCTGTTACTAATACTATTACTGCCACTACGACCGCTAATAGTTCGAGTACGACGACGATGACAACGACTAGTGTTACTACGGCGACTACGACTACGATTACGACTACTACTACTACTACTACTACTACTACTACTACGACTACGACTACGACTACAACTACTACTGTTACTACTAGTACGATTACTATTACGACTGCGACTACGACTACGACTACAAGTACGACTGTGACTAGTACTACTGCTACTACGACCACTAATACTGCTACTACTACCAATACTCGTACTACCGCTACGATAACTCCGGCTACGACCATTACTATTATTACGACTACTACTGCTACTACGACCACCACTACTACTACTACTACTACTACTACTACTACTACTATGACTACTACGACGACGACTACTACTTCTACTACCCTACTACTACTACTACTACTACTACTACTACTACTACTACTACTACTACTACTACTACTACTACTAGTACTACTAGTACTAGTACTACTACTACTACTACTACTACTACTACTACTACTACTACTACTACTACTACTACTACTACTACTACTACTACTACTACTACTACTACTACTACTACTACTACTACTACTTCTGCTACCACATCGACGGCGACTACGACTACGACGACGACTACTACTACTACTACTACGACGACGGCTACTACAAGTACGACTAAGTCTAATAATACTTCTGCGACTACTACACGTACGACTACATCTATATACAATACGTGCGTCAACCTGTAAAATGTGCACAGATGTATATATAGATGTATTAGATGTATGCCTGTGTATGTGCATGCACGTGAATATATATATATATATATATATATATATATATATATATATATTAACGTGTACACTTGCACCGTGCAGGCAAAATGACAGAACGTACGTGATGACAAGAGGGGCAGGACTTGGGGAGGAAGGGAGAGCGATAGCCGAGTGGCGGGAGGGAGGTAAAGAGGGACGGAGGGAGGAAGGGAGGGAGGAAGGAATACATACAGGTGGCATGTGCGTGTAGTGTGTATGTGTGCCTGTGCTTTGTGTGTTGTGTGCCTGTGTTGTGTGTTGAGCGTTCTGTTTGAGTTACGCATGGGTTCGGTGTAATGTGTTTTATGTGTCTGTGTGTGTGTCTGTGAGGTGTGCGTTGGGTGTGACTCTGGTATTTTGTGTGTGCGTTGTGTGTGTGTTGCGCGCATTGGGTGTGGTGTGTGTGTGTGTGTGGTGTGTGTGCGTGTGTGTGTGTGTGTGTTGTGTGTTGTCTGTGGATTGTGTATGTTCTGTGTATTGTAGGTGTTGTGTGTATGCTCTGTGTGTTATTCGTGGTGTGTTGTGTGTGGTGTGTGTGTGTGTGTGTGTGTTCTGCGTGCTATGTGTATGTGAGTGCTGTACGTTGGGGCTCGATGTTGGGAGGATGTGTCCAGTTAAACTGCCTGTTCTAAGACTCGTGTTCAAAAGGGGCTTGATTTCTAGAGAATGTCCCAAGCGAGACTGCAATGTTTTCAGGCTCGTCTTATACACATTGACATCCTATGTCTGCGTTTGAAAGAAAGGCTGCGTGTTTGGACCGTGACGTCACGATCTGCCTGAGGGGTGCGTCCGATGTTCATAAGCTTGAGGACGTCCCAAGCGAAACGGTCAGACAAAAGAGGCACTCGGCGACAACTACTCGCCTCTGAGCTTTACTCCCTCGAAGGGGTGCGTATGATAGAACACACATAGGGATACACACATACACATATAGATATTAAGCAAGAGAGAGAGAGAGAGAGAGAGAGAGAGAGAGAGAGAGAGAGACACACACGTTGAGAGAAGGGTTGGGGAATATCAGCTGGGGATTACGGGGGGAAAAGGAGCGAGACACACAAGAAAAGGAAATGAGAAAGTGAGATCGAGAGGGACAGAGGGACACATAAACATTGAGATAGAGAGAGGAGAAAGGGGAGAGAGGATATTTGAGGAAGGAAGGGGCATGAGAGAGAAACGACGATGGGTGAGAAGAGGGAACAGAACAGGGTGAAACGGAAAGAGAGAGAGAGAGAGAGAGAGACACAGACAACAAACAACATAAGCGAAAGAGACAGGAGAGAGAGGAGAGGAGGGGACAGGAGGACGAGAGACGAGGGACCAGGAGCGAAGAGGGAGGACTGAAAAAGCGCCTGGCACGCCACCTGGTCGCCGGGTAGCCCATGCTCCGCCTCGCCCCCGGCAGCGGGCAGCAGTGCCAGCAGCTCGCGCCACACGTGCGCCGGCGCCGCGCCGTCCACGTCCTTCGGCGCGTCCTCGTGGAACCGTCTTGACGCCATGGGTCTTGGCACTCTTCTGCGGGCCCCAAAAATATACACCACTACCGCGTCGATTACTTCTCCCTCCTCTACCCTCCTATTCCTGTCTTCTTTCCTGGGAGAGCGGGGGGTTGAGGGAGGTGGTGGTGGTGGTGTACTACGTTTGGGCCCCGTATCCTCTGCCTCACGTGTGTCCTTCGGGCACCCTGTCGGGCCGCCTCGTCGCTCTCTGAATCCGTCTTCGGCCCTCCCGGGGCCGTATTGGGCTCGTCCTGGGGCCGTCCGGGTCTGGCTCTGGTCCTAGTGGAGGAGCCTGGGGTCCCCAGGAGGCAGATTTGGGCCGTCCTGGCCCTCTTGGGCCCACCAAAATTAGCTAGTCTAGTCTCGAAACACTCTGTGGCGGATAATATTTGGGCCCCTGTCAGGGTATGTCATCGGTTGTGTTAGTACCACTCTTCGACTTTGTGACCAATCACAAAGCAATCGCGACACAAGCACGGAGCAACCACAGGGGACAACTGCGCGGGGAGATCGCTGCAGCTGTGCAAAGGCCAAGTGCAACCGCGCGGGACAACCGCACGGGGCAATCCGCAGAACACTGGCACAGAGCACGAAACCATTTTGTTGAACTTGGCCCCAGCTGCGGCTGGTGACCCTGCTGCCCGCACGCGCAGCCTCCCCCCGCACGCGCGCGCGACGCGGCCGAGCCGAAACCGAAGCCGATGCCCCAGCGGGTCTCACCCCTACAATCTTCCACTGCGTGCGCTCGCTCATCCGCCTTCCCCCTCCCCCCCGCCCTTTTCCTCCCTTTCTAAGCAAGCGCGTTCTACTCGCAAGTGGCCTGAATCCGCCGTGGGGGATTTACGATAGATTACATCGAGACGAGCGTGGGCTTTTTTCCGACGTTTGCGAGTAGGCACCTAGCGAGTAGTGGAACGCGCTCGGCGACTTTACGTACCTACCCTCATGGCCACCCGTGTACGGCCAGAAGCTTTTGCTCCGCGCGTCGCGGGGGCGGCCCAAGGTGACGCGCTGTGCCTTGCGGCGAGTGCGTGTCGCTCCGCTCCGTGGGGCGGGAGGCGGGGAAAGCTTGGCGCGTTGACCCCTGGGACCGCGACTTGAATAGCGTGTCGCGCCGATGCGTGGTGGGCCAGAGCCGCGCCCGCGCGCACGACATGAACCGCATCGAAACTGGCTTCCCGGTGGGTGGCACTCAGTGTCGCATCGGTTATACACACACGCACCCCAACCCCTCCGACTTGAACTATTGTGCATCCAGGGCTCATGAAGGAAACTGCAGGGCCAGGTCGCAATCAAGGAAGGGTATCAAGAAGGGGAGCCAGAGGAAGTGCAGGACGAAGGGGACGATGACGAAGAGCAGGATGATGAGGAGCTGGGGAGGGAATGAGCAGAGGAAAAGAGGCTGGGAGGAGGGAGGGATGGGAGGAGGGAATCGGTGAGCGAAGGGAATGAAACGGGACAGGCGGGGAGGAGACCGGGGAGGCGGGGAGAGATGGAGGGCGACCGTGCGCACTTGCTGCCTCCGCCGCGCGCAGGAAAGCCACAATCGCGGGCCGCAGCGCAGCAGCGGGCACCTCGGCTCGCGCCGTCATGCGCCGCGATGGGCTTCACGTTTCCGAGCCCGTCTCCCGAACTCCCTCCGTCCACCACCCCTTTCCATCTCTCTGTCTCTCTCTCTCTCTCTCTCTCTCTCTATATATATATATATATCACGCCTTCGAGGCTACAGCTTATGCATAGCCACCGCCAGGAGGACGGATGTTCCACACCCCAGGAGGCAGTGGATATGGATATCATTGGGCTCCAGGGGGCCCGACTATATATATATATATATATATATGTATATATATGTGTATATGTATACACACATATATATATATATATATATATATAGACAGATCTGGCTATATACACACATATATATACACACACTAGAACCATCGCGCGCGCTTTACGCGCGCTCAGGCTCCAGCCCAGGCCGAGGGGGCGCTGGACGATCTTGGATGTCGCTATCAAGCACAAGCGCGCGACGGCATCTGAGGAACTTCTGGGGTGTTCCGCATGCTTCGTCAACTGGCTGTTGGAGGCACCTCTTGGGTGCTTCGGGGGCGTCTGAGGGTCCCTTGGGGGCATCGGTTCTGCAATCTGAATCCGTCATTGGCCGTCTTGGCTGCGTGGAGGCCCGACTTGAGGCCACCTGCGGCCAGATTGAGGCAATCCGGAAGCCTCCTGGGGGCCTCCTGGAAGCAGTTTTGACGCATCGAGGGCACTCTTGGGCTATTGTAAAGCCTCTTGGACGTCTCCTAGGGGCCTTTTAGGCCCTCGGGAAGCTTTTGGGGTCCTCGTCGGACCACTTGAGGGCCTCTTGCGGCCTCCTGTGTGTCTTTTGGGGGGAACGCTCTGCTGTTGGGTCGCGTTCTCTTGGGGCTCTTGGGGCCCTCTCGGGCCGTCTTGGGCGCCTCAAGCACCGTCTTGGGGCCCTCGCGGGCCGTCTTGGGGCCTTCTTGGAGGCCTCTTCCTCTATATTGGAGCGGTATTGGAAGCCTCTTGGGCCGTCTTGGAGCATCGGGATGCCCAAAAGGCCGAAAAATTAAAACCCGTCAAAGCCCAATCGTAAAACAATGAGTTGTGCCTCTTGGGGCCACCTTGGGAGATCTCTTGGAACCTCGTCGGCCCTCTTAGGAGCTTCTTGGGGGCCTCTTGGATCCGATTGGGGGCCTCTTGGGACTTCCCGAGAACCTCTCGGGGTAGAAAGCTCGGGTTCTCGGTTCGTGTTTCCCTTTTTGAGCCTCTCTTGGGGCCGTCTTGGGGCCCTCTCGGGCCGTCTTGGGCGCCTCAGGCACCGCCTTGGGGCCCTCGTGGGCCGCCCAGGGCCCTCTTGGAAGCCTCTTCGGCGATCTTGGAGCTGTCCTGGAGACCTCTTCCTCCTCCTCGTCCCCCTCCTCGTCCTCCCACTTCCTCCTGCAGCTCCTTCCGGAAGGCTCCCGCCGGAACATGCTGTGCACAAGTGCTGTCACTGCTCCCGCCACCGTGCCCTGGGTGGTGGATCAGAGGCCTCATTGGTGTTCGTTTGGATCTCGTGGTTGGCCTGTCGGGGACGTCGTGAAGGCAATTTCGCAGCTTCTCGGTAGCCGTTTTGGGACCGTTGTGGGGCCTCCTCGGGGCTGTTTTGTGGCCTCTTTAGGCCTCGTTTGGGCCTCCTGGGTGCCTCTTGGGGGCCTCCTAGGGTCTCTTGGGGGCTCCTTGGGGCCTCCTGGGGCACTCTTCAAGCGGGAGGGTCGAATTTTGGAGTCGTGGTCCCCCTCTTGGGCGCATCTTGGGGCCGTCTTGGGGCTCTGTTGGGCTGTCTTGGGCGACTCTGGGACCCTCTTGGGGCCCTCTTGGGCCGTCTTGGGGCGCTCTTGGGGGCCTATTGAGCCGTCTTGGAACGTCGGACAGCCGAAAAGGCTGGAAGGCCAAAATCGTTCGAAAACCTTATAACATTGACGATTTCGGCCTCTTGAAGCGCTCTGGAGAGGCGTCTTGGAGCGTCGTCTTCTCGGGCCGTCTTGGGCCTATCTTGGGCGTCCCGGAGCGGTCTTTCGTCCAGAACGCGCTTGGGCAAGCGCTGGGATTGGGGAAGGCGAGTGGGAACCGTTCAGGCAGTTTGGGATGCTCGGGGCAAGAGGCGGACGCCATCCTCATAAGACATGCAGTCTTCCTGGAGTCCGCCGGAACGCCTGGAATGATCACGCGCTGCGGTTTTCCATGCCAACGTCCTCGGACGTGGGCGCCCTGCCACGAGCGCGTTCCGGGAAGATGCTCCCGGAACGCGCTGAAAAGATCTCGAGGCTCCCAGGTGGCCTCCAAGAGACCCCAAGAAGTCTGATAGGTATCACGGTACGGCCCGAAGAGGCCAAAGTCGTATATGTTCAATGGTCTTTTTAATGTTTTTGGCTTCTCGCGTTTTCGAGCTGAGCTTCCAACGGTCCAAGAGCGCCGAAGAGCCTCCCAAGACCGGCCCAAGACCACCCAAGAGACCCTCGGGACGGCCCCAAGACAGGCCAAGAAGGCTCCAAGACTGCCGAAGAGGCGCCCAGCACAGCCCCAGACCACCCCAGAACAGGCCCAAGATGGGCCCAAGAGCGGGAGCAGGAGGCCTCCAGAGACCTCCGAGAGGCCTCCGGGACCCCCCAGAGGTCCCCAACACCCCCCCCATCCTTGAGGGGGCCCAAAGAGACCCCGACGAGGCTCCAAGAACAGCCCAAGGGAGCTGCGAGAGCCGTCCCGAGAGAGCCCAAAGAGGGTTAAATCGTTGAGTTTCAATTGTTTTTCCTATGTTTTTCGCCTTCTCACGTTTTCCCGCTTCCAGCCCTCAAAGATCAAGGATTTTGGAGAAAAAAGGAATTCCAAGAATTCCTTTTTTTCATCAAAATCGAACTCCTACTCGGGGGTCCTACATATCCCCTGACATCTGGCCGGTACCGCGCCTCCCGGCTTCTTAACGTTGTCGCGGAGTCTGCGAAGGCCCCAAGGAATCCGGGAATTGTGGATTTGGGTGAGATGCTCATCCATTCAGGACTCAGGACAGTATGCCCGGGCCCGGGCATACTGTCCAGGCCATCCTGAGCGCGCGATCAGGTTCTAGCCCAAGCCGGGAGGGCGCTGGACGATCTTGGACAACGCTATCAAGCACAAGCGCGGGACGACATCTGAGGAGCTTTTGGGGTGTTCCGCATGCTTCGTCAACTGGCTGTTGGAGGCACCTCTTGGGTGCTGCTTCTTGGGGGGGCGTCTGAGGATCCCTTGGGGGCATCGGTTCTGCAATCTGAAGCCGTCATTGGCCGTCTTGGCTGCGTGGAGGCCCGACTTGAGGCCACCTGCGGCCAGATTTAGGCAATCCGGAAGCCTCCTGGGGGCATCCTGGAAGCAGTTTTGACGCATCGAGGGCACTCTTGGGCTATTGTAAAGCCTCTTGGACGTCTCCTAGGGGCCTTTTAGGCCCTCGGGAAGCTTTGGGGGTCCTCGTCGGTCCACTTGGGGGCCTCTTGCGGCCTCCTGTGGGCCTTTTGGGGGGAACGCTCTGCTGTTGGGTCGCGTTCCCCTTCTTGGGCCTCTCTTGGAGCTCTTGGGGCCCTCTCGGGCCGTCTTGGGCGCCTCAAGCACCGTCTTGGGGCCCTCGCGGGCCGTCTTGGGGCCCTCTTGGAGGCCTCTTCCTCGATATTGGAGCGGTATTGGAAGCCTCTTGGGCCGTCTTGGAGCATCGGGATGCCAAAAGGCAGAAAAAATTGCACCCGTCAAAGCCCAATCGTAAAACAATGAGTTGTGCCTCTTGGGGCCACCTTGGGAGATCTCTTGGAACCGATTGGGGGCCTCTTGGGACTTCCCGAGAACCTCTCGGGGTAGAAAGCTCGGGTTCTCGGTTCGTGTTTCCCTTCTTGGGCCTCTCTTGGGGCCGTCTTGGGGCTCTCTCGGGCCGTCTTGGGCGCCTCAGACACCGCCTTGGGGCCCTCGTGGGCCGCCCAGGGCCCTCTTGGAAACCTCTTCGGCTATCTTGGAGCTGTCTTGGAGGCCTCTTCCTCCTCCTCGTCCCCCTCCTCCTCCCCCTGATCTTCCTCCTCCTCCTGCAGCGCGTTCCGGAAGGCTCCCGCCGGAACATTCTGTGCACAAGTGCTGTCACTGCTCCCGCCACAGTGCCCTGGGTGGTGGATCAGAGGCGTCATGGATGTTGGTTTGGATCTCGTGGTTGGCCTGTCGGGGACATCGTGAAGGCAGTTTCGCAGCTTCTCGGTAGGTAGCCGTTTTGGGACCGTTGTGGGGCCTCCTCGGAGCTGTTTTGTGGCCTCTTTAGGCCTCGTTTGGGCCTCCTGGGTGCCTCTTGGGGGCCTCCTGGGGCCTCTTGGGGGCTCCTTGGGGCCTCCTGGGACACTCTTCAAGCGGGAGGGTCGAATTTTGGAGTCGTGGTCCCCGTCTTCGGCGCATCCTGGGGCCGTCTTGGGGCCCTCTTGGGCCGTCTTGGGGCGCTCTTGGGGGCCTATTGAGCCGTCTTGGAACGTCGGACAGCCGAAAAAAAGGCTGGAAGGCCAAAATCGTTTGAAAACCTTGTAAAATTGACGATCTCGGCCTCTTGAAGCGCTCTGGAGAGGCGACTTGGAGCGTCGTGGAGTGCCTTGGGGGACCTCTCGGGCCGTCTTGGGCCTATCTTGGGCGTCCCGGCGACTCGGGGCCCGCTTGGGCCGTCTTGGGAGCCTGTGGAGGCCCTCCTGGACTATTTTGGACCTCCCCGGCCGCCCCGTCCTCCCATGGGGGGTCGGAGGCGGCGGCCTCCGAGACCCAAGACGCGGAAACCGTGTAAAAACATAAGGAAAATGAGCCCCGGTACCCCCATGGAGGGTCGGGGCAGCTGTTTTCGGGCACTGGGCCTCCTGGGTGCCTCTTGGGGGTCTCCTGGGGCCTCTTGGGGCGACTTTGGGGCCTCCCGGGGCCCTGTGGAAGCGGGAGGCTCGAATTTCCGGTTCGCGGTTCCCCTCTTGGGGCCCTCTTGGGGCCGTCTTGGGCCTCTCTTCGCCCGTCTTGGGCGCGTCTTGGGCCGTCT